GCGCTCCAGGCGGGCCGCCAGCCCCTGCCCGCACCGCCCGGCAAGCAACCGTGGTGTTTTCCATCAACTTCTTCTCGAGTAAAAGCCAAACTGAACATTCGTGTACAATTTCAGGAACATCTGGGTGTTCGCCGACACTCCTCATCTGTATAAGCTGCTGCGCAACCACCTGCTTGATAACGGTCTGCAGCTGCCAGGCGGGGGACTGGTCGACAAGCAGCTGTTCGCTGACGTCCTGGCCATCGACCGCGGCAAGGAGTTCCGGATCCTGCCCAAGCTCGGCATGGAAAGCCACGTGCAAGTAAGTACAGTCTGCTGCCAAAGGACATGCATACCTATCGGCCTGTGATGGTGAAAGTGCATCTATGAATATGGGTAGTTGACTCGCTTATGGATAACTTCGAATTCGATGGACAGTTTTTGGGCCTCATTTACAATTTAGTGCCCTCTCGAATATTTCAGAAAAGTTTTGGTGTCATGCAACATGTTGTCAAGCTGCCAATGGTGGCAAACACCTATTTGCAGATAGCCACACCTACACCTAGCCACACACCTGGATGGGGATAGTCGGCTCGACGTCTGATGGCTGACCTGACCTTACCCGGTCTGCCCCAAATACATAAATACATCATCTTGGTTTAACCCTCGCCCTTATTGGTGTTTTGCCAGACGTAAACGTATGTTGCCTTGTCGTTCGGCCCCTGATCGAGCTAGAGCTTCGCGGAAAAAAACGAACGTGCTTGCCGTGACGAGAGGAAGCCGATGCTGCCCAATTTTAAGGTCCTAGGTCATTGGTTGACCTTCCAGGTCGGGTCAGTGACTCAGAAGTCGGCAAAAGCGAGACCTGTTAGAACTTCGTAAACTGAGGTTGTTAGGGCGTTTTCGGGGGTTGATCACGAATTTCATGATACTCTTGATCACAGATGATGTCTTATTGCATTTGGGCCAGGTCGGATCAGGTCACGTCAGGTCGACAAGTAGGCGTCCTGCCGACTATCCATAGTTAGTTGTCAGCCACCACCGATAGCTTCGTAACATGTTATGAAGGCAATACAACTACTGCGTAACTGTTTAAATAGGCGCTATAAATTAGAAGTCAGCCCCCACAAAAAAAGAAGCTACCCTAGAAACATGTGCAGACACATCTTTGCATCGTATATTTGCTGAGAAGACGGTTAATGGGCATCTATAATCTCGACGCAACTCTGCTTTGTGAATCGGTGTAACCGGACTCGGCACGTGTCACGTGGGTTGTCAGAACTGTCCCGCCTACTCTCGATAAAGCTGCCAAACCAGAACTTGTATCCGTAATCCTACGTTCAATAGAAATGCCTACGATTATAGCGGTCCTTTTACTCTGGTTGCAGGTGACCGGGCAAGCTCGTCAGAAAGTGCGACCGGCCGCGCAGCTCCTCAGTGCTTCAGTGGCGGCAGCTGTCGACACCTTCCTGGGCCGGGAAGAAGAGGCGCGGTACTTGCGGGCATTCGATAGTGGCTTTGATGCCCTGAACGGACAGTGTCCCACCGACGTCAAGCCACTCCGCCGCGGCATCAAAGGAGACGGCAGTGCGCACTTCAGGGCCCTGGCTGAGCTAGAGGCGGCCATCCGGCTCAAGTTCCAGGGCAAGACCTCGCTGCTGCCATTTCAGAAGGGGTTCATCGTAACGATCCGGTCGATGCGTGGCTTGGCGGCTGATCTGCTTCCGGTGCTCGGCCAAGGCTCGTACGTGCTCCCCGGCCGCATCAACCAAGATATCTTGGAATCGTTCTTCAGCCTGGTGCGCGGTAAGGGCGGCGCAAACTTGCACCCCAGCCCCAGTGAGGCCAAGTGTCGCATCAGGAGTTTGTCGCTGATGTTCGCTCTGAGGCTGGGAGTGAACCCGCTGACGCTGAATCCGATGTCGCCCGAACCGGTCACTGGCGGGGACAGCGCGGTGGAGACGGCGCTTCTCTCAGAGGATCTCGAGGAGCATCACACCGAGGACTCGCAGCTGAGCTCTGACCTGATGGAGATCGAGTCGTTGGTGGAAGCCGCCCGCCAGAGCCGGCCGGCTCCATCCGGCACTGCGACTGCCTCGCCAGTGGACCCGAGGACCAGTGTGACGGCAGAGCAGTACGGCATGGCCTATGCGGCCGGCTATCTGTCCGCCAAGTGCCGCAAGATTGACCCCAGTCTGGGAACTCCCTCAGCCTACGCTGATGAGACGGCAATGGCGGAGACTATGTGGATCCGGATGCGAAGCATGGGCGGCCTCAGTGTTCCCTCTGGAAAGTGGATGGAACAGTTCAAGGTGCTGGACAGTGCCTTCTGCGTCCGACACCACCTGGAGCCGGACCGTCTGTCCCGCAGTACCAGGGTGGTCGAGTCCCTCGTGGAGTCGATCACAAACCAGAACTTGGACCTGCCAGACATCCGCATTGTGCGGAGGTTCGTTCGCCTGCGGACGTTTCTCCGTCTCAGCACGGTGAACCGGATGCTGCGGAAGAGCAGCTCAACAGCATCACTTCGTGAGAAGACCAAGAACAAGCAGTTTGCCACTTAGAAGGTAAGTACGCGTCGGTGTGGTTCATTCGTCAACACTGCATGGTTAGGTAGACCCGACTTTTTCATTGTCCTTGAAACGAATAGCTCACCTTCCAGAAATATTTCGTGTATAAAATAAGTACTAAATCAAATATGGGCTCGAAAAACGACAAACAGTATTTGAACACATTCTGAGCTCGAACCATTATGGTTCTTTTGTTCCATAGCTATATAAATGAACACAAGCAACTTAACATCTGATCAGCTTGGACTTGGAGCGATCCAGCGTAAATGAAGAGTATGGCCACTGGTTGCTTATCTTGGCGTTTGAATTGCGTTCCGCTACAAACTAACGTTTGTTTTGTCGCTCGTCCTGAAATTCGTAGCCCTGAGCTTTCGAAATGTTGACTTAACTGTGAACGATGTGATGGAATTTAATGTCATTAATAAAGGATTTTCTGCCCGTTACAGACCGCACCAGGGCGGCGCCAGGGCTTCCGGCGGTGGCACCGGAATGGACGGTCGCTGGAGGCATGGAGACGCCGCCCGCCGGACCAACCGCAGCGCCGAGACGCTGGACATCGACGGCCAAGGCGGCGGTGCAATAGTTCCCGACGGTAACGAACCAGTCGCCGGGGGAGGGTGACGTGTCGCCGGGCCTCCGGTCACGGGCCGGGCCTCCGGTCCGGCGTTCGCAATAACCGTACCGGCGATACGGACACCGGCTGAGCCCGGGCGCGGATGGCGTTGGGCCGTGGCAACCGTGTTTTATTTGTTAACTGTTGCAGGACTGTTTTCAATCGTGTTTGAAGTAGTGTTTTTGTTGTGCTCCAGCTTCCATTTTGACTAACCGGTTGGTGTGCTTTTGAGCGTTTACCCCACTTGTTAGGCGTTCTTTTCCGTTGGTTCAGCGGAGTGATGTGCTGTGTGCCCGCAAGGGGCAACCGGTGGCAGGTTGTCCCTCCGCTGTCTGTCTGTAAGCCCTGCTGGATAATGGCGACCTTTTTGCGCAGGCATATCGAGCTTGTTCGCATCGAGCCTGTTCGTACCGAGCTCTGCATGAAGAGCTTGTTTGCATCGTTTCGTTGGACGGTAGACAGACATGACGGAAGAGTGCAACCACTGTGAGCAGTGAGCATGCATTCAATATACCTCCTGTATTCGAGTCTCTATTGGTTGTACTACCGCCTAGGTGATAATTGATAAAATCATAATACGGGCTACAATCACAGCAGTGATGCCCAGCTATGCATAAATCGCGTGTTAAGTGTTGAGTGGATCGCAGACGTATGTTTGATAGATATCCATGACATGAAAGGCGACAATACCCTGCAATCGCATTATAAAACACTCCTAATAACTACGTGAGCCACAATATTCCTTATGTCCACCATACCAACCACAATGTCTTTTTTTCCACTGAAAGGAAACCCTGTGGTGGCAGCTGAGATGAATAATGGTAGGTAATGAATTACCTTCATTCTATTAATATGTGCACTTAGGTGAATGGCATCGGCATCACGTGAATGGTACTGCGGAATCGATGTTTTTTATGACTCCGACTCCGACTCCCGACTTCAAAAATCGACTTAGACTCAGACTTTACACTTTGTTGATGTCGTCTCCAACCGACTCCGACTACGCCTTTCGGTGACTCCGACTCCTACTTGTAAAATTGACTCTGACTCCGCATTTAACAATCGACTCCGACTCCAACTCTGACTCCGGTCAGAACTGTCGACTCCGACCGACTCCGATTCTGACCCATGAGCGCTAATGCCAGCTATCACGCCAGCGAGTAAGCCGCAAATCGTATGTTCCGTGGCGGTTTATGGCATTAAAGGCGACAATGCGGCTAAATCGCGCTATGAAACACCCTTATTGGCTACAAGGACCACCATCGTTAGCGGGTCACCATCCGAAAACTTGACAAGTTATTGATAAATTGGCCCTGGATTTGGATAAATAACATGTTGACGAACTTATTAGCACACATTTATAATACGAGCTAGGTTTAGGTTGTCCTCCAGTCGGCTCTGAACTTGTCAATTTTCCCTATCTCCAACATGTAAATGCCCTGGGGCGTCCTCGTGGTGACGTCAGCATGGGAGTTGCCAGGCTGGTAGGAACTAGACTTCGACGCCCCCTGGTAGAGCATTGGACTCCCGGTAGTGAGAGCCCGGGTTCGAGACGCTCCGGCGCTCGATATTTGAGACTCCTGACGGGGATGGTCTGCGGTTGGTGGGAGCAGCCGCAGTCAGTTGAAGTCAGTTGAGTGGGACAGGCCGTGTCCGGCTTTGAAGGGCACGTTAAACTTTGGCATCCAAATTCTCCCGTTACCCGGAATTGCGCGATCGGACGGTAGGGGTCGGGGTCTACGCAACAAGCTCTGCTTAGCGTGGGCTCCGGCTCTGTCAATCCGTCCATTCAAACATTCGAGCCAAATTTATAAAAAAAAAAGAATCTTGCATTCAAGATCCAATTTCATTCTGAGCTAAGTGGGTTTGTATAAAACTTATATGGGCTTGGGTTTATATAGCCTTGGGAAGTCTCAGTGTGTCAGTGTGTTATTACATGACGGATAATAGGTGATGTTTGTTTCTGGGGGATTTTGCATGTTGATTGTGACGTTGTGCAAATGTATTGCGCGTGCCTTGCAGTGTGTGACGTCATGCGGCCGATCCTAGCAGTGTGTGACGTCATTCGTCCGACTGACCTTGATACAATAAACAAGCAGTTAGCGGCTGACCGGCGCGCTGCTCGCTACTGGTTCTCTGTGTTTTACGGTTTCACGGCTATTAGGACTCGTGACATGGTGTCAGAAGTGGCCGAATTATCGCCCTGATTGGTCTTCCTGTTCGTTCGATTCGTTCGTTCGATTATTTTTGCGATTATTCAAGATGAATTTGCGCGCTCCGACAGAGCTGAATTTTTCGGCCGTCAACATGGCGGCCGAATGGGCGCGATTCAGCAGAGATTGGAAGTACTACGCTGCGGCTAAGGAGCTGGCTGAGAAACCTGTCTTGGTACAAGTGGGAACTTTTTTGAACTATGCAGGCATCGGCGCCCAAGAAGTGGCCTCTCATTTTCAGTGGCAGGACTCTGATGGCTTGCCGCCACTGTTGGAAAAGTTTGAGGCATATTGCAATCCGCGCCGCAACGTGGTGTTGGAGCGCTACTTTCATGCCCGTGTCCAGCAGCCGGGCGAGAGCATCACGACCTTCCTCGCCGCTCTGCGCTCTTTGGTCGTGACGTGTGAGTTCCCGGACCCGGACAATATGATCCGTGATCGGCTGGTGATCGGTGTCGCCGATCGCGCCACCCAACGTGCCCTACTCCGACAGGCCGATCTCACGTTAACGGCCGCAGTGGACATCGCCCTGTCTGAGGAGGCCTCACGGCGTGACCAGCAGTGCATGGGGAGTGCCGGGAGTGCTACTGGTGATGTGCTGAATCCCAGTGAGGTGAGCGCGATTTCTCAGCCCTCCCCGGCCCCAGCTGTGAGTCGGTGTCGGTTCTGTGCCCGAGTTCACGTGATGCAACGGTCCTCGTGCCCAGCGTGGGGACAGTCATGCCACGCCTGCGGTGGCCGAAACCATTTTTCGGCGTGCTGCGGCCGGCCCGCCGGCGCCCGCCCCCTGTCGCCCAGAGGCCAAGATGGCGGCTTCTCGGGCGTCACAACACGGAGTGGTGGCGCCTCTACCGGCCAGCGGCGTAACGACAGCCGCCTGCCGCCTCGCTCTGTGGCGCCACCGGTCCCGGTGGCCGGCGACCGGGGACTGCGCTCTGCGACCCGTGCTGGAGGTGGACGACGGGACCGGGACGGTGTCGCAGCAATTGAACAAGCAGACCAGGATGCGGAACAGGTGGGCACAGAAAGGGGGGCCCCATTATATGCTGTGAATGTAGTGCAGGCGCCAGATTCAGATATCCAGGTATCTCCTCGTGTATTTAAAACGCTTACATCGCCGTCGGGCGAGCCCCTGCGGTTCCTGGTCGACTCTGGCTCCGAGTGTAACATCGTGTCGCTCAGTGACTATGAGCGTGTCACAGGTGATGTATCGCACCAGTTTTTGCGGTCTAGTGTCTCTGCTCTCCGTATGTATGATGGCACACTTGTGAGCACACTAGGTAAGGCCAACCTGTGTCTTGTGAACCCCTCATCGGGCCAGAAGGTCACGCTCAACTGTAGAGTGATTGGTCATGACGCGCTGCCCATCATTAGCCTGCTATCGTCTGTCGATTTGGGTCTGATAGATGTCAAAGATGTCGACCCGCTCGATTACGTTCCCCGAGTGTCTGCTGACATGGGCTCGACCGAGGGTCTGACTCGGGCTGGGGTCATGTCCGAGTTTGAGCAGGTATTTGATGTGTCCAAGCCGGGTCGAGTCGTCACTGAGTACAACATTGTCACAGACCCCCAGGTCAGTCCCGTCGCGGAGGCCCCGCGCCGTGTTCGTGTCCATGTCCGGGACCAACTGAAATCTAAGTTGGATGACCTCGTCGCCCAAGGACTGATATCTCCTGTGACCGAGCCCACACCATGGGTATCTAACCTGGTAATCGTAGACAAACCAAACGGAGATCTCCGCCTCTGTCTAGATCCCAAGTCCCTCAATAAGGCTATTCAGCGCGAGCATTACCCTACCCCTACTCTGGATGAGGTCACAACCCGGCTCAGTGAGGCCAAAATTTTCTCAGTTGTCGATGCCAGTCAGGCTTTCTGGCAGATCGGGCTGACGGATGAGGCGGCCAGGCTATGTACATTCCACACACCTTTCGGCAGGTACAGGTGGGAGGTCCTGCCTTATGGCATTAAATCAGCCCCGGAAGTCTGGCAGCGCACAATGCACGACCTCGTCGCGGGCTTGCCAGGGGTTGACGTGATCGCCGACGACTTCATCATCTTCGGTACGACTGAGCAGGACCACGACGCCAATCTCAGAGGGTTCCTCCGACGGGCCGCGGAGCGGAACTTGCGTCTGAACCCAGATAAGTTCCGATTTAAAGTCGGATCCGTCAAATGGATGGGACACATCTTGAGTAAGGAGGGCCTGAAGTGCGACCCGGCCCGTGTTAGGGCTATAACAGACTTCCCGGTGCCGACCTCGGTGCCCGAGCTAAAACGTTTTTTGGGCATGGTCGGGTACCTGTCTCGATTCCTGCCGAACATGTCATCTGTGCTGGCCCCACTCCGGCAGCTGACTCAGCGTTCAGTTGAGTGGTATTGGAGCGAGTCGTGTCAGAGGGCGTTCGATCGCGTTATATGTCTGCTTACCTCGGCTCCGGTGCTGAGTTTTTACGACCCCCGACGGGAAGCGACGGTACAGTGCGATGCTTCTATGTCTGGTCTCGGAGCGTGTCTATTGCAAGAAGGGAAGCCTGTAATTTACTGTTCACGCGCGCTCACAACGGCTGAAAAGGCGTATTCGCAAATCGAGAAAGAACTGCTCGCCATCACATTTGCACTCACTCGTCTTGACCAGTTTTTGTACGCGCGCCCCGTCACTGTGGTCACTGATCACAAACCACTGGTGGCCATTCAATCGAAGCCGCTAGGTGACGCGCCGCTCCGCCTTCAGCGGATGCTAATGACCCTTCAGCGCTACGACTACACGATCACCTACCAGCCCGGCAGCCAGCTGTGTGTCGCTGACACCCTCAGTCGGGCGTCTCTGCCGCTGACCCCGGACGTTTTTGCTCTCCAGCTGGAGACGGTAGATTTAAGTCAGGGAGTTTCAGTGTCTCCGAGCCGGCTGGCGCTTATCCGTGCAGCGACAGCGTCCGATCCGATACTGTCTGCCCTTATGGCTCAGATTCAGCGCGGCTGGCCTGACCGCCGTGACGCGGTTCCTGAGATTGTCAGGTGTTTTTACCCATTTCGCGACGAACTTACGGTTCAGGGAGGTCTAATTTTCAAGTATCGGTGTCTAGTAGTCCCAGCCAGTCAACAACGAGAGGTACTGTCTCAGCTTCACCGCAGTCACATCGGACTGGCTTCTATCATACGGCTGGCGCGTGAAAGCGTGTTCTGGATAGGGATGCAGGCCCAGCTACGCGAGATTATCCTCAAGTGTCCTGTCTGTCTCGCGCACCGACCCTCGCCTCCTCGGGAGCCGTTACAGTCACATGACGTGCCCAGTCGTCCCTGGCAGGTACTTGCGACGGATCTGTTTGAACTGGATGGCCAGGCATACTCCGTGCTAGTGGATTACTACAGTAACTACGTGGAAGTTGATCGTTTGCCCTGCCTTTCGTCGGCTCAAGTAATTCGTGCCCTGTCTGTGCATTTTGCTCGTTTTGGATTTCCAGAGGTTCTAGTCAGCGATAACGGACCACAGTATTCGAGTGCTGAGTTTGCGGATTTTATGCGCCAGTTAGACATAGAACACCGCACCTCCAGTCCCAAGTACCCTCAGGCTAATGGCAAAGCTGAAAATGCAGTTCGCACGATCAAAAACCTCTGGCGTAAAGCTCTGGCTGCCGGGGAGGATCCACTCTGGGCGCTACTGATGTGGCGGAACGCACCGAATGAAATCACCGGAGTTTCTCCCGCTCAGCTTATGTTCAGTCGCCCGTGCCGTACTTTTCTTCCGACTGCTCGATCAACTTTGGCCCCAGCACCCCCAGTTCCCGTCCGTGAGGCCCGGATAAAAGCGCAACAAACCCAGGCGACGTATTTCAATCGCGGCACCCGACCCCTCCGGGCTCTCATCAGGCACGTATCCAGGATTTCGCTCAGGGGGGGGCGACAGCCGAGAAGGGCCCGGAGGTCAGCCAAAAGGGGCCCCACAGCGACTGCCTATCCTGGCGTGTAAAAATTCGAGAATGTCGAAAAAACAGCAAATTTACGATAGAATTTGGCATTGTAAATGAAAATGCATTGTCTTGCGTTTCTCGACCTTGATAACATGTTTGCAGTTAGCTTCCGTTGAAGTTTGTTTTTGCAGTTCACTTCCGTTGAAGTTCGTTAACCCGCGCCCGGCCGGGGGGGGGGGGGGGCGGGGGGCTGTTTGAACACCTCCTCCTTGCGGTTTTGCGTGGATATAAAAAAGAGGGATGAATATTATCTACAGATATGAAAATTTTACACCCAGGTCGCTCAAGGTCAGGTCACCAGACCACGTCAAGTGACCTCACCTCAGAAAAGGTTAGAATGCTCTCCATAGCAACACCGACTGAACGATCGGCTTGAAACTTTTAGCGATTGATAAGAGTAACAGTATGTATAAAATGATTATCTCGAAATTTGCATACCGGTGGTGACATAAGTTCAAGTCAATTTTTGCGCCCTCTCCATTAGGTTTTATAAATGGGAGAAAATCGAAAGGTGCCTCTTTTAGGCAAACGTCATCCTAGGCACCCTCAATCACCTGGTTACATAAAAAATGACAACCTAAATCGGAAATTTGTACCCGTGACCCCTCCTTATGTCTATGGGGTCATCTCAGGTCACGAAACGTCTCCACAGCTTTTGACAATAGCATTTGTTAGAGACACGCTAGAGCGTTGAAAACACCTTAGATGTGTTCAGGCCTTATCGACGATACGGTTTGACGGATGTGCAACATGACCTTTCAGGTCAGGTCACCTTGAATTTAGTTCAAATTTTCTAAATGACCTGATAAGGTCAAATTATATGTAGTTCATTCGACGCGTCTCGACGAGAGTAGCACGATGCTGACAAAAGAAATGTCGTGCCTTTTCCTGAGTCGAAAATTGTTAAAGAAAAAAGTGTTTCATAAAAACGACTATTTTAAAAGTTTTTTTTCTCTCAAGAGGCTAAACCGTTAACCCGAGCACCGACGGGGGGGCTGTTATCCGCCCCCCCCCTTGAGGTTATGCGGGAAAACCGCGGCGCGTAGCGCCGCGAAATTTGGCATGACTATTTTCTCATTAATTTTACACATGGTGTGCAAGTTTGAACCTCCTAACTTTTAAGGTCAGATCACCAGGTTACTTCGAATGACCCAACCTCAAATCACTTTTTTGCAACTTTGTCACGTCGTGTCAGAGCTACAGTAGATAACGGAATATGATTCGATGCGGATTGACGAGAGGATCACGATGGTGCCCTTAGTGTGTTCCTAGCTTGGCTAATTCGAAAGTTATTCGAGAAAAACTCTTCATATCTAGCGCCGCCATTTTGACTTTTTTACCCCTGTGACGTCATCTTTGACCTGATCTGGAAATGACCTAATTAAAAATTGTAGACCTTGTCCGTGCGTACCCCATGCCGTTTACCGCTTGTCGCTATCTTGCTTCGTTCTTGAGATCTCAGGGGGCGGGCGGTCATCCGCCCCCCCCCCCCCGTCGGTTCTAAGTTGGCGCGGACCCCCGTCGGTGCGCGGGTTAATCGCAGGTCAATTCTGAGAACAGTTTACGGAAAGAACGTTAAAAGAACTATTGAATGCGTTTTTTGTGGCGCTGCAGCTCTGTTTGTACCCGGGTTATGCGCCGGAGTTGTCAAACAATGTTGAAATAGGCAAAATGTGACCTTTGCTGACTTATGGTGACCTGACCTTTGACCTGACCTAGAAAATGACCGAGTTACTTTCGGCATGATTTTTTACGCTCTTCCGAATGCCACGTATATACGCTTACGTGTCGCTACGTGGCCCAGGAGCCGAGTTAGAGAGAGAGGGTGTTCAAACGCCTCCCCCACCGCCTGTCCCAAACGCTATCCGTGGCGCAACTATGGAGCTCATTTTGTTCGGAGAACTGTAAACAGGAGCAGCCCCATGAGGTCAGTCGAAAGGGTCCCATCATCGGCTGTTGCCTGTTCCTCGGGCCCCATGGCCTGGGCAGGGCCTTCTCAGCGGGCCCTTCCGTTTCTGGGGCCCGGCCAGGACAAGCTGTTTCTGAGACTGGGCACGGAAGTGTATATCTGGGCTCGCTTTCTTGATACGTTGTCGAGGCCGAGGGACCAATACTTAAGCTCAAAAGCCTGCTTCAAGGCTTTCTGAGCGGGCCCTTCCGCTTTTGTAGACCTCCCGGGCCCCCGGTTGTCATTGGCTTGGCCCGGTCCGCTTGTGGGGCCCGGCTAGGGACCCATATGAGCACCGGCAAGACCCTATGGGCCCTTTTTGGACCCGAAAGCCTGGGCAAGATCTTCTCAGCGGGCCCTTCCACATCTAGGGCACAGACAGGCCCTGTGACTGGGCACGGAAGAGGATTTTTTCGGATCCGCTAACCATAACTTCTCCGGGGCCAATTAGCTCAAAAGCGATACCTTTGGGCCCGATAAGGGACCCGTTTGGAGTCCGGCAGGGCCATAGGGGCCCTTCCTCAAGCTCGAAGGCTCGAGCATATCCTTCTGAACGGGTCTTTCCGCTTTTGGGGCCCTGCCGGGCTCCAAATTGCCCTCGCTCTGCCCAAAAGTGGGCCGAAGGGCCCAGTTACGGACCTGTTTGTGGCCCGGCAGGGCCCCAGGGGCCCATCCGCGAACCAAAAAATTCGAACAAATCCTTCTGAACATGCCCTTCCGCTTTTTGGCCCAGCCGACCCCAAATTGTTCCTGACTAGGCCCCAAAGCGGGCCCTTCGGGCCCGCTTTCTTGCTGCCTAGCGGGCCCTGCCGGGCCCGCTTTTGGGGCCCGGCAGGGCCCAGGGGGGGGCGACCGCCCCCGTCGCCCCCCCCTTGGATACGTCCCTGGCTCTCATCGAAGGCGAGACCGTCCGCATGCAATTGCCGGGTCAGTCCACGTGGTCACCCGGTATCTGTTTGCGATCAGCGGGAGACCGATCCTATCTGGTCAGAGTTGACAACTATGTGTATCGGCGTAACCGCCGCCATTTGCTCGCTACTAACGAGGATCCGAGCGTTGCCCATGACCCACCAGAGAGGCCTCATGACCAGTACCACCTACCGCCTTCCCGTCTCTCTCGGGACCATTCGTTCTCGCGGCCAGAGTCTCCCCGTACGCCGCTGTCCACCTCGGACACCGTAGGAGGTGGGGACGCGTCGCCGAGTGTTCACGGCAGGGGAAATGTCTCTGCCTCATCGCCACTCTCTCCGCCGCCTGTGCGCCGCTCTGGTCGCATCTCGCAACCTCCACGCTATCTGCAGGATTATGTGCCGTAAACGGGACGGATTATCCGTCGATTTGTTTTGTCGTTTGTCAGCGTGCATCCGTTTTGTTTTCTTGGTGTCCCATTTCTCATCGTTATTTGTCGGATGTGCTTTGTGTGTTTAACTGCATCAAGAATGTTACTTGTGTGAAGGGTTTCATATTAGCTCGTTTTTTGTCGAGAAAGGGAGATGTGACGTTGTGCAAATGTATTGCGCGTGCCTTGCAGTGTGTGACGTCATGCGGCCGATCCTAGCAGTGTGTGACGTCATTCGTCCGACTGACCTTGATACAATAAACAAGCAGTTAGCGGCTGACCGGCGCGCTGCTCGCTACTGGTTCTCTGTGTTTTACGGTTTCACGGCTATTAGGACTCGTGACATTGATGTAATGTGTATTTACTGCATAGTCTGAGTCATTTCAATTTGCTAGCCAGCAGATAGGTAGTTAATCTAGTCAGTTCTTTTTCTCCGCTGCACTGCGTACAAAGTAAGTATGTACCTACCTGCTTATTCTACATGCAATGTAAGTGGGTACCTTACTTAAGTTGATGTTGATGATTAATGTGATGCCACTGGATGAAGGTACGCTGTATGTTAGAAACTAGTTACCAACCGATGATAACCTACCTGCCTTCTTTCTTTCCCATCAGTTCTTGTCTTTAGACCATGGAGGAGCAAAAGTTCTGTCTGCGCTGGGACAGCTACCAGAGTAGCATAACGGGCGTCTTTGATCGTCTGCGGCGGGACGGCCAGCTGCTGGATGTAACCCTCTGCGCTGAAGGGCGGCGGCTTAAGGCACACCGTGTCCTGCTGGCTGCCTGCAGTCCCTACCTCAGGGACCTTCTCACTGTGAGTTCAGAGGGATAATATAATGGAGGGGTAATATGAAGCCTTTGCCACTTATTTTTAGGTAAGGGATAATCACTGGATGGCTCAGGTCCCCCCCCCCCCCCCCCCCCGAGTAGACAGTATGATTTGGCTCTGAATGTAATTTGCATTGCATTAGGTGTCCTACCTTATTTTACACATGCTTTTTATACCTCACTCCTGTGATGTAATTTACATTGTGTACAGTTTTTTAGGGCATTCCTAACATGAAGGTAGGCTCAGCATACCAATTAACAGCTAAATCTGGTCATAACCTGATGCTGCACCACCAGTGGTGGTCACCAATTTACAATAAACTGACAGACCCCCGGGCCATACAGGAGACCCAGTGCGAGCACCTGGTGCTGTTTCTGAAGGACACTCCAGCTGCCGACCTCCAGGCGCTGGTGGAGTTCATGTACAGCGGGGTGGTGAACGTGACACAGAGCCAGCTGACATCCTTCATCAAGACTGCGGAGACGCTGCAGATCCGCGGACTGAGCGGCGATGAGGGCCAGGTGAGACGGGCAAGGGGAGATGGGAGGGGTAGGACTCAGTGGGACAGAGTAAGAGGAATATTATCAGGTCATAATTGGCGCGGTTCAGGTGGAATGTTGTGTATCAGACAGAAACTCAGCAGGCTGGTGATTTGTATTGTTAGGCAGTTTGTGCTTAAAGGGACTGTCCCACCTTAACATTAGAATTGAGTTGAGATAGCCATCTTGATGGGCGTTCTTTGAAAATCAGAGCCGTGAAAACCGTTTCTCCAGCAATTACTTCATCGCAAAGAAATTTGTGTTTGATTTTGACATCTGTGCAAATAAGTGCCACAATGTATTGGTATTGGCACTTAAAACCTGTGACGTTTCCGCCTTTTCCGAAGTTTCTGTATCTGTCGACTTGTTTTTATCGAAACCTTGAAAAATAACAACGCCTCCTTGAACAGCGCCCATTCGTTCCGGGTGGAGATATAAATTGATATGCCAAACTAATTCTTATAGTCTTCTAATTCTTGTAGTATTTTTATTTTTGTATTTAAATAGTTAAGAGGCCGTCCTAAATGTGACTGAAGAATGCAAGAGCCATGAACTTATCAATGGCAGGTGTCAAGTTCAAGTGTGCAACTCTAAAAGTAATCATAGTATCAAAATGATAAATGATTTGCTCACTGCTGTTTCAACTTTCAACTCCATAATCAAGACATGCTCTGAGAAGTCCACAATCTATTGATGGTGACAACTAAGGAAGAGACGATGAATGTTCACCTTTTTATTTCTGAGCATCCAAGACGACTAACCTTGAGCCGTTAAACATTGATAATACCCTGTATGCTGAAGTGTGGGTGGCCTGAGGTCGACCATGCCTAGTAAAGAACTGTTGTTTGTGTAAACACCATGCAGAGGTGTTTTGAAATAAATTTTAGTGATGTAATGTATCATTCTTTGAACTGAGTTGCTAATGGCGGATGAAAGCGGAAGTGCTGCATGTTGAATAAGAAATGCTCTGTTGTGCTTTTAAGCTTATGTTAGATTTTATAGATGGCTTAGTTTTCCTGCAGATTTCATCTTAAAGCTGTCAATAGTGTTTTACCTTTGTTTCCTGGGAGCAGATCCAGCTACTAACATGAGCATGGGACTGGGCCTTTGTACCACAGTCGCTGCGCTGCTTGTCAAAACCTAGGTAATGTGCCTTGTTGGGCCATGCTGTGCATTTTTTAAACCTTTAAGAGTAACTACTTTGTGATCATTGACACACATATTGCACCTGACAAACAGCAGCAAAATCACACCCCATCCTTACCTCTGTGCAGTGTCACCCAACAGACAGCAGGGCTTCAAAACAGGCAGGTTCCGCATTCAAGTCGCTTCTTGCAACTCTTGACTAATGTTAGGACAATAGACGTGCTGTACAGGGAAGGCGTGTTCTGTGTAGCTCTTGAAAAATGAAGTCATGCCTAAAATTCAGTTTAGAATATTACAATTACAAATAACTTGGATAAAAGTTGCAAAACATGAACTCTGACTGGTCAGTTGAAATGTCTTGAGTCAGTGAACCACGCCTGGGCTGGAGGTGGTCAGTTCCCTGACTTGCGCGACCTCGGGCAGGAGCTGTGGTACTTGTACATGGACAAATTGAATAGGCCTAGATCATGTCGTGGCTGCAGTCCAAGACATGTTCACTAGTTGCTGTTGCTGCCGCCGCCTGCTGCTGCCCTGCATACCGGCTGGGAGCTCACTGCTGGACTGTTTGCGCGCCAGGCATCCTACTGGACGAGTGGGGTGGGTCGCAGATCTTTGAGAGTGAAACGTTTGTTCTATGTAAATGTAGCTGAAACTCTTACAAATAATCTAATAGAAAGGCAAAATTTCAGAGGACTCCATTGGTGTCTCAGTGGTGACAATCAGAACTTGATCAGAACTGTTATGCTGAATGCTGAAACTGAGAATAGGGCTGAGCTGGTGGGCTAGAATTTAATATGCAGGCTTACAAAGACCCCAGTTAATCCACAAATTTGTCAGACTTGCCTGTAGGCAAATTTATGCAGATGAAATGTTTCTGGCAGATAGCCCTGAGGCAAAATGCTATTCAAGCTTGTTCCGTAGCTCGTTGCGTTCCACATGAGCCACTAAATCAGAGTCACACATCTCTGCCAAATGTGCTGAAAGGCCACGATTTTTCCAATAGGTAGGTATATTTATTGTTTTTCACAGACACAACAAAAATACAAATGCAGTTCACTACAATTCATTCTGCTTCAATTACAATTGCTGGAATGTGTTTTGCAGACTTATTATATTGAATCTTGAACAGACTATATTATATTACTTTGCTCATGGGCCCAGTCCAGTACTGCAGAGTATGGCTCGCAGGTCGCCAAGGAGCACTGGCCCAACTCCCAAGCTCAAAATTGACACAAACCCTTCAAACAGAGCCCGAAAATTCACACCAAAGGGGGCTGAGGCCTGAGAGAACACAAAAATGCACCAAACCCCAAAATGGCCAGTCAAAATCTGCACTGACATCAAATCCCCACAATGCTACACATCTGCACCACAGCAAGCCAAATTCGCACCCCGCTACACTACATCCGCACCACACTAGACCAAATCCGCACCGCACCACACTTAAATCCGCACCAGACGAAGGAGTCCGCACTGACAAAATCTAGACAAAATTGCCCCACTTTGCAGTCTGGCTCATGGCTATATCCATTGTGATTCTTAGGTCTGATTATTGAAGTTGAGCTCACGTCCATCATCCATGTGCCCAAGACATTGTGGGCAGCATCAATAATCAAACATCAATATCTTGCTTTTGCTTATTAGGGAGCATTCTATAACTTTTTTAAAAATGATAAATAAGGCCTTGTTGATATTCTTTGCAGTTTGCGACCTTCTTCTGGACAAAGTTCAAGCTTCAATTTTCCAATTTTCATTTCAATCCTTTCCATGAACATTGAACATGTTTACCAATGGGGGATAATTTTTTCAGTACCTAAATTTCAGTTATTTTGCACTATCATAAGTTCAGTTTGCACTATCGTCTTTTCGCAGGCAATTCCTGTCAAACACAGGTATATTCGGTCATTCCGCACTATTTTTGTTAGTATAGAGGCGATGCCAGATCTGGCATAATAAATGGGTGTGTGGTAGCTCATTTTGCACTAAATCCGGTATATGAGCACTATTTATGATTTCACTGCCGAGCACGAGCTACTGCTATGATCACAGTATTCTTGAGCCTTGAGGTATTTATTTTTTATGTTGTACGTAAGTTGGACATCAAAGTAGGATCCTCCATTCAGCGTATTACTTCCACGATGAAAACGGAATTGGAGCAAATTTTGTTGCATAGGTCCTGCCCTCTACGCAATACACAACGCCCGGTGCTGCCCCCTAACGACTAATAGGCATGCTGGGTATATATTATGTAGGTAAATTTGTGGACAAAAATGCGCATCGCTTAGGTTCGTGGGACAAAATCATGTACTGTACGCAAATGTACGGTACACGGTCTGCCCACCGGCTAATCATCTGGTGACCACTCATGCTCCTCAGCAAAGTACCACCCCTCGAAATGAGAGCTGGCTAGGCGTTAGCTGCCGCTGAACGATAAAACGCTGCTGCGAAATGCTACAATCAAGATCCATCTAGTTGATGTGCGTCAATGACAGACACGTCCCTTCCACGACACGTACGGAAGGAACGTCGAGCGCTTCCTACTAAGCATGGGAAAATGCCACCGCACATTATAAGCATTTGCTACTGCAATGCTGTACCTACAATCTACATGCCCATAGCGCCGTTAGATAACCTGACAGAATAAAGACAGCAGCACTGGCGGACCAGTACGCTTGGGCGGACGGTAGGACCCAACATCCTCGCGGAAATCGTCATCACTCTCCAATCTCCATGCTAAGAACCTCGCTCAGTTCACTCTTGGACAAGAAAAGGCAGGATGATCGGCACACGCTGAGGCTGTACGCAAATCAATCTATCCAAATTCCTTGCCAAATCCGTCCAAGAAGCGCGCCTTGCGTCCTATCGGTCCTCTCAAAACGCATGCGCCGAAACAGACGCTAATCGACCTGGCAACAAACAATCTGTAGCTAGTACAGACTAGTATTGTAGTTTATTTCTCCATAATATACTAAACTCCTTCTAGATTTAGTAGGGATGCCTAAACATCTACCAAAAATAGTGCGAAATGACTACCATTAGGTGCCATTCAAACTAAAAGTACTGCGAATTAGACTGAAAGTAGTGCTAAAGTCCCTTAAATAGGTGTTATAACTGGTTACGTGCTAAATGACCCTGTTATACCTCAAATTAACTGGAAATGCCTAGTTTTGCCGAAAATACCACAAAATGACCGGTTTTTAGTGCTGAGAAAATTACCATCCTTTACCAATTTCCTGAGTTTATGCGCAATGTTTGTACTATTCGCGGCAGAAGCGTAACAAAACTTTGTGCCACCGATTTGGCAGCTAGGAAAAAAACTTTGCCCGATAAAAAAACAATCATATGACGTAATCGATCCAAAAGCTTTAAATTGGAATTTTTAAACAATTAGCCAACTATGGGCCGAATGTTTGCCAATTTCGTGTAAAGGGGCCCATAATCTATGTCTTGCAACACAAGAACAGTATATCAAAGCAATTTTTTGAAGGTGGGACAGTCCCTTTAATGCTGAGCAGTTATACTATAAGTTTTCTAAGCCTCTATGTTCTGTAATCCATACACCGCAGTAGCTATATAATGTGTCTTCAGTTCACACCTTTCTCACATTCACCAAGTCCCTGCTCTCGGTCCGCCAGCGTGTGCCCCCGTCCGCCGTCGTCCGCGGCTGATGCCGTTCGTGTGTCCCGTTCCAGTCGGAGTCCGCTCAGGAGCGTCCGGAGCCTCCGGGAGGCGGCGGAGGCAGCAGCTCCTCCCGCGCGCCACCCCCGCCGGCGGTCCAGCGGTCTCACCGCTCCCCACTCCCGGAGCCGCCGGTTGTCCCCACCGCTGTTAAAGTGGAGAAGCAGGAGCTGCCTGATGGCGACGACGCCACGCTGGACGACGCGCTCGGCTATGTGGCGGCGTATGAGGACGGCGCACTGGCCTCGCCGGGCCCCGCGGCGGCGCCGTCCCCGCGACCGGCCGGCAGCCCGAGCCACTCGGTCCCCGCTGGCAGCCCGAGTCATTCTGTCACCGCCGGCAGTCAACACCCTTGCGATATCTGTGGCAAGGTGTACAAGTACCGCATCTCTCTACTAGCGCACCGAAAACACCACGAGGGGCGCACCAGCTGCTTCGTGTGCGGCCACACGTCGAGTACAGTACAGAATCTGCGCCAGCACCTGCGCTTTGTGCACCGCCTGGGGGCGGACGAGGTGCGCCGGCGTACCGGACAGCAGCGGATCCGTATGTCGGCCGCCGAGGTGATGGCCGGAGGTCAGATGATGGGCAGACAGGGCCTGGTCAGGTGGCCGGCGCCCTCCGCCGGACTGGGACCGGCGGGGGCGGGGGAGTACGGAGGACAGGGTGCGCGGGTGCAGGGGCAGAGTCCAGGGGCACAGGGACAGAGTGTGGGGGCGCAGGGGCAGAGTATGGGAGTGCAGAGGCAGAGCGGGCAGCCTGTAGCACACGGTGCTGTAGCCAGCCAGAGTGTGGGAACTCCGGGGCAGAGTGCGAGAGCTCAGGTACAGAGTGTAGGATCGCAAGAACAGAGAGTGAGAGCTCGGAGCCAGAGCGGTGGGTCGTCCGTCGATCCCGCGCAGGCGCCCGCGGTGGCGGACACGCCCATGGAATTGACTCCCACTGAGCCGCCGCTGGTGGACGTTGATGGATCTCCGGAGGAGGCTGGACCGCCGACGGACCAGTCCGGAGACCACTCGGAGACCGGACAGATGGACCAGTGATCGGGGACCGCCGCGAGCCGTGGCAGCTCGCAGCCGGGTCTGAACGAATCGGTCCGACTCTGACGCTGTAGTTCGCACAACTCGTGTATTAGCCCGTCAGTCTACTAGACTGGGGCAGTGAGGCAGCCTGCGTTCCTAACTTGTTACGGCCGCGCGGTGCCATCGAGTTAGATAGAGCGGCTCACCGTCGTCCGTTGTGACGTTTTAGATGCGTATCGTGCCAGTTCTGAAGCTGCGGCTTGTGCCATTCATTCATATTTTGTACCTGTGGCATGTGCGTTCCATAAATACTATCGCAATCATTTTGTTTTCACTGATGAGTGTTGCCACATTGATACTTCACATTGTTTATCACTATATCATATATTACTTTGTTGTCTGGAAACGGTACAACGAAAACAACTTGAACACTGCACGTGTGTTAATTAAATTGTTTGATGATGGCGACTAGTGCTAAAAACCGAAAAATGTAAATAAAAAATAATGCTTACTGGATCGTCTCGGCCGCACTCCGTAGTGCGCTAAAACTCTGCGAGAGAAGCAGTCTTTGGTGACTTCGTGACCTCCATGACCTGCACTAGAGCGCTGTTTAGCGCCGCTTTTTATCAGCACGTGGCCGGTTTTCCATAAATGGAAGTTACTTGCAGGCATTTCTCGACCTTTCATTGGTGAACCGCACGCCTTATCACAACCTAAGTGAATTTCGCCAGTAAGAAGTCGAGGGACGCCAGCAGGTTGACAAAAACGGCGAGCGAACAGCGTCCACAAAAGGGCCGAAACACTTAAAGGAAATAGTTCACTTTTTAACATGGGTTTTGAACTGGAATAGCAGTTCCGTAGCTTGGGCTGAGACGAGCATAAATCAGGAGCTTTTACAGCCCAACGATCACCCTAGGCAAAGATATTCTATTTCTCGTCCCGAAAAAGGTGTCTTGCGTTGAGGATGTGTGCCTTGCATATATTTCCATCCAGTATGAAAAGAGCATGGGTCCCGAAAATTCTTCAGAAAGTAGAGAAATTATCTACGAGAACTCTAGAGAAATTCTCGTACTGAGGCCAGTTTTACCAACAGAAAAATAGCAGCCCGGCGCAATTTTTCTGTCAAAAACCAGCCGACGAGTTTCACCAACCAGGCGAAAAAATATCCGCCGGCGTGAAAAAATATCAGCCAGAAAAATCAAGAAAAAAAGCCAACGAGTTTCACCAACGGCAAATGCGGCATTAACCCGCGCGGGGCTGGGGGGGGTAAATTTTACCCCCCCTCGCGAATTTTTGCGATATCTCAAAAACGGCGGCGCGCAGCGCCGCCAAACTTTCAGTACCTTTTTTTACATCAATTTGACACGTTCCCTGAAAATTTGAGCGAAATCCGTCGGAAAATTTTTGAGAAATTGACGTTTTAGTGACGTCATGTTCGCCATTTTCGCCTCAAAAACGGCAAAAGTTCAAACGCCGCTAACATCTTCATTTTTAAAGGAATCAAGACGTAACAAAAAAGGTTATACGTAATTTTACTTTGTCTATCAAATGGCTATCTCGGTTTTTTGAAAATTTTGGATTTTGGCCTAAATTTTTTCAAAAAACTGACTTTTTTGGGAAAATCATCATAAAATCCAAAATTTTGAGTCTATCGAAAAAACCGGAATATATGTCAGAGAAGTGGTCTATGTGCACCTACATACCAAATTTTAGAAGAATTGGTTCAAAAATGTGGGAGTAGTTCAAAATTTTATGACGTCACGACACACAAATTTTTTGAAAAATGACTTTTTTGGAAGTTCTAGACCTCGTACGGAAACAAAAATAGCACCATTCGATTCGCCGTGAAAAACTGCATCAGATAGACACCTTTTTAGGCCTTAACAACCAACTTCAAAATTTGACCTCACTTGACCTGACCTTGACCTGACCTCGACCTGAAATTCATCCAGAGGTGGTCCATATCACTTATTGAGTGTGCCTATTGAATTCTATGAGTAAAATGACCCATAAAACATGTGTCGCACATGCCCTTTTCTATATTTTGTTTTTTGGTGACCTGACCTGACCTGACCTGACCTTGACCTTGACCTCTGAATGATATTGTATGCAACGAATATTGTCTTGGTAGCCTAAGAACACGTTTTGGGCGATCAGTCTCAGTACATGACTCCATTCTTCGGCAACTACGGTGCAAGGCCGATACTGTAGAAACTTGCAATTTGTACCCTTGACCTGACCTTGACCTTGACCTCAAACTTTAAATTAAGTACATGTTTTTAGTAGTTCGTGATGAGAGCTTTCGATTGGCGTTTGAATTTTCCAAATCGGACCATTAGTTCGGGAGATAACAGGGGGGGTAAAATTTACCCCCCCCCCCAGCCCCGCGCGTTCGGCTGGAGACCCCAGCCCCGCGCGGGGCTGGGGTCTCCCAGCCCCGCGTCTGGGGTCTGGAGTGTTATTTTGCGCCATTATTTGTAGAAAAACAGCCCAAAAAATAGACGGGCGACCCCGTCTATTTTTTTGATGTCGTGTTGGAACAATTGGCCTCATTTGTTACTAATTATCGTGATTTGCGCTTCCCAGTTGATATAATAATTTAGTATCATTCATGGCCAATTTGTAAAGCATCTGGGCTTCAAGATTAGAAGAGGAATACTGATGATATTGCGTAAAGAAAGAGCCTTTGTCACCAGGCAGGACCAAAAGAAACCAACAAGACGGGTGTTTGGTGTTGTGGTGTTAGTTTTTTCGTTTAATATTATCTTTTTGCTACAAGCACCCAACAGCAAGATGATAGAGCATTAACTAGTGGTCAGCTTACAAGTTCATTGCTCGCACGGAAGTGGAAAATAATGATGGAAGGTCATTTTCGAAAATTGAAGGTGCTTGAAGAAATACTGGAAGGAGAGGCAGAGAGGGTAGGCTCATTGGACTCAAGATTTTAAATAAATATGTCACTGTTTTCACATATTCAGCTACATTTGACATGGCAAGGTGCCAGCTACTGATACCACTACTACTTTTGGGTGAAACTTGCTTGAGCTGTGCGGAATAGGGAAGGTGCATTGACATTGCTAAGACCGAATTGGCAAGATTTTCAAGATAAATGACAATAAATTTTTAAAAAGAAATTGAATAGCATGAAAGAAATGTATAAAGGCTTGTTTTTGAAGCAAAACGTGCAAAGTTTGTGAGGTTGCGAACCCGAACAAACTTGCTGTCATAAGATTGTGCCACTGAACTCAGCAAGTCATGCTGCCAATATTGAAGGGAAAGAAAATAATAGTAATGTTGTAAAATGTAAATGAATCCATAACTGTTGTGTGTGCACTGTGCTGATATTGAATGCATGTGTATCTTGCATGCTTGAGTCATGCAGGGATCATGTTAAAACTGGCTGTAAGTATTGTGAGTTAGTTTTGGAAAATTGTGGAGGCACCAGGCAAATTGCGGCCAAAATGTTATTTGTTCACCTCAGCACTGAACTTTCTGCACACAGAGTTTTCAGATCATGCGCTGAAATGTTCATGCAGCCCGTCCGTTACACTGGTCATGTTGACAGTGACAAGGATTTTTTTCCCAGTCTCATGTTGAAATACAATAATAATTCACTTAGCTTGATTTAGCTTATGTTTTTCATGCCAGTTCCTAGAATAAAGCAACAAGTATTTTCAGTCATGTGAGAAATATAATGACAATTTGCACAATTGCAGGCTGTGGCATGTTGTGAGGGTTTTCCTTGTTTATTGCTGAGGTTTTTCCAGTCTCTGCTGCAAAAACGGTGGTGAATCCACCGTCGTCCGACGGTTTCGATGACGCTAATCATCGGCGAGTGTTGCTGTGATGGCCGACTGAGCGCACAGCGGCAGCCGCCGTCGCCAATAACGACAGTGAGGACACCTCCGAGTCGGACGGAGACGCCGCCGCTGACGATTTCACCGTGCTGGACGAGGTGGAGCGCTCGAGCCGACAGGCCGTGCACCGCGTGCGCTGCCCGACTGGCTGGCGCACCCGCAGCCGATTGGCGACCGGCGGCCGGCGCCGGCCAATCTGCCGGCGCTCTGCCCCGAGCTGCGCGCCCGGCTGGCCGCCGAGGGCATCGAACAGGTGTTCCTGGTGCAGGTGACCGTGCTGCCCAAGCTGCTGGCGGCCACAGAGTCGCCGCTGCCACCGGCCGACCTCTGCGTCTCGGCGCCGGCCGGCCGCGGTACGACGCTGGCGTTTGTGCTGCCGGTATAGTGCAGGCGCGGCGCCGGCCGCCGGGTGCGCGCGCTAGCTGTGCTACCCACACAGGCGCTGCCCGCTCAGGTGCCCGCCGTGTTCCGCCAGTACGATGCCGACACGCCGCTCTGCGTCTGGCTGCTTGGTGGAGACACAGTGGCACGAGGGGGCGCCAACTGGTGGCGGTGGGGCCGCGCGGCCCGGTCTCCCTGGCTGATTGTGGTGAGCACTCCCGGCTGGCTGATGGATCACATAACCAGCTCCGAGGGCTTCTCGCTAGCGCACCTGCGCTACCTGGTGATCGACGAAGCCGACCGGGTGATCGAGATGGCCGAGACGGGCTGGCTGAAAGCGGTGGGGCGGGTGGCGGCGGCCACGGCCCGCCGCCCTGCATCGCCGGCCGGCCGACGGCCGCCGCCGTCTGCGCGCCTCACCTGCCGCTGCAGAAGCTGCCGTTCTTGGCCACCCTGTCACAGAACCCGGAGGCCGGAGAAGCTGGAGCGAATGTCGCTGTTCCAGCCGCGACTGCTGGCGGCCGGCACGGCGGCCGCCGCCGTCGCACTGCCCGGTTAGTTCGTCGGCAGGTTCACCACGCCGGCCAAGCTGAGCGAGTCGTTCAACGTGGTGGCGCCGCAGCCGCTGAAGCCGCTGGTGATGCACCATTTGCTCCGACAGCCCGACTGGCGACGCTCGCTCGTGTTGGTCAACTGGAACGAGGTGGCGCACCAGCTGGAGCTACCGCTGTCGGTGCTGGGCGCGCGCGTGACTGAGTTCTGTGGGGTAGTGCCGGCGTGCCGGCGGCGGCGCGCGCTAGGTGAGATGGCCGCGCTGGTGTGCTCGAGGCTATAGCGCGCGGTATTGACGTGGACGCCGTGGACGCGGTCGTGTCGTACGACATCCCGGCGCTGTTGAAGACGTACACTGCGTGCGTCGGACGGCGCGCATCTGCCGGGCCGGCCAGGCGGTCAAGCTAATGTTGGAGCGGCAGCGCAGCCATTTCCAGCGGCTGATGGTGCAGGCGGGCAAGGCGGGCGGCCGGGTGCGGGAGACGCTGGCGCTGCTGGACGAGCTACGAGCTGCGCCAGTACGAGGCGACCTACGTCAGTGGATTTCCACACTAGCTTCTAGTGGATCGCTGTTGTTTTTTATGCCCATTGCTCATGATTTATTTACATTTTAGAAATATTGCAATGAATAGGTGTATGCCTTGTCATCAGCCTAGAAAAGTTAAAGTAAGTAAAGCGTTTTAGTTGCATAATGTATATTTGTTCATGAACACGGATTTAA